AATATATTATTACATGTTTTCAAAAATAACCACCAAACGCAGTTTCAGTTTTTTTTAAAACTGAAATCAATCTCTAAATAAAACTACCAAACGTATTTTTAAAAATAATTCAAAAATGAAACTAAAAACGTTTTTATTTTCATTTTCGTACAAAAAATAAAAACGTTTTGAAATCAATTCCAAACGCACCCTAAGTCGACACGAATATATGACCAAAATTGGAATATATTAATACAAACACCAATGAAATTGAAACGACCTCTTCTTACATGAGCGGCATTGCACAATTTCCTAGGCTCGCGTGCCACCACGGAAACGGTAGCTGTAACCTCCCAGCCCTCTGTCGTCGCCACCCCCTTTCCCACGGTTCATTGTTATCCGTGCGTGCTCCATCGTCACAAAGAAGAAAGAGAAAGACAAAGATCTAAGGATGGGGACCGCGCGTGACGATTTGGGGGAGTTGGCAGCTTCAATAAGCTCCAACGAGATCTACGGGTGGGAAAGGGCTTTGAAGTAAGATTTGGTTAAGGATTGGGGGTGACGATGAGCTCCTAGCTTGGCAGTAGGTGGTAGATGCCGTGTTTCACGGGTGATGGAGACTTGTGATGTAGGTCATGTTTCGCAAACAATAATGGATTGCAATGGGCAAAAGAGTTTTGGTGGGTGGCTGCTCTTCCAAGCTCCGGCTACTTGGGGTGGTGGATCGCCTACAATGAGCCAAGGGATTATTAATCCCATGGTTTTTTTTTTTTTTATCCTTGTTCAAGGGGATTATTTTTTGGTCAACGACTAAATTATACGGTTAAAGTTTATCACCAAACACGGGATTAGACTCCTAAACGCCAAACATTTAGAGACGTTTGGTTCATGGATTAGAATCATAAGATTAAAATTATTTTCAATTTACGTGTATTTTGTATGAGAGAAAACACTGTAGCGAATCATGAACCATGATTCAAATCGGGATACGAATTCCTCAACCAAACAACCCCTTACTTATATTTAGAATCCGTTTAGTTCGCTAATTTAAATTTTTAATTTCAGTTGAGATGTGATTTTATATGAAAATTTTTGCTGTAGTAAAAAAGTTAGATATAACTGTTTTGATAACTTTTTATTATAACAAAATTTAAATTGAATCAATGAAATGAACGAGACTTTAATAGTTCCTAAAGAACAATGCACGTGCATTGTACTATTATAATCTTCGAATTTTTTCCTTAGCAGATTACTATTGAAAGAGATGGCATCAAAATGGCTTTTTCTAAGGTCTTCAATAGAGAATTTAAGCCTTTTAACTTAAGAAAAAAGGGCACATGAATAAAAAAGCCTTAAGAAAGAGAATATTTAAAGGCCACATGAATTAAAGTATAAAAGAATTGATGGAATTTGACGAAAAGGATTTAATATTTGGTTTTTGAGTTTGAATAAAAATTTATTTTACAAGAGAAAACAACGTAGCATATATCTATTTATATACTAGAAAGCACAAATGCGAGTCCTGTGTTCATGCTTTTTTCGACCAAAATGACGACATTTTGTTTTAAAACGCGTGAATAGTACACATGTTTGCACTTTTATTTTCTTGTTTTTTGCTCTCATGATTTACTTCCTTTTGATTTTTTGTCCCAAAATTTTTAATTGCCTATTTAGATTTTTTTTGGGTGGTACTTTAAATTTTTTATATTCGTTCATTTTAATCCCTTTTTGACCATTTTCTGTCATGAAATTTTATTTTTCGTTCATTTTGGTTCTTTTTGTTCTACAACTTATTTATCTCTTTATTTTAGTCCCTTTTTGACTCATTTTTTTTATTTTCTTATTTATTTTTTCATTTTAATCTTTTTTACTACTTGCCCTAAAACTTTATTCTTTTTTAAATTTTAGTTCTTTTTTAAAATTTTATATTCATATGTTATATGCTTTTAATTTTAATAAGAACACGGTAATAAAACTTCATACACGATTACACACACGTCCATAACACATGTTTTTCAATTAGTATACCTTTAAAAAGACAATATAGCAAAAAAAAAAAAAAAAAGGGTTTAAAACCCTCAAAACAAACAAATTTCTAAGACCCCTCAATACTAGAGAAAGAAAATGATATTCCACAAACACGTAACCACCACAGCGATGAAGGTCAATGCTTGCACCACAAGACAAATCCTCTCTTCATGCAGACAAAGATCACGTTTATTTTTGAACTAAACGGACCCTAAAACCTTTAAAAAATAAGTGAATATGAGGATAAATGCACTTAAAACGCCTTATGATGACCGATGACAACTAAGGTTGTGCATGGTCCATTCCTAAATGGTCAAGTTTTCTAAATCAGACCGTTTTAACAGTTTGGAAAATTTTCCAATCAGATCAGACCTATCTGATAATGGGACCGAATCAGATCATACCACTTCAAAGTGGTCTAGTTTGGTTTAGCTCCGATTTAGATTGAGGATGAATTTTTTTCTTTTGGTTTTTACTTGTTATATTTCATATTTTTTTTGAAGTCTAAATAAATCATATATTAGTAATACATTAAAATAAGCATTTTATAAAGATAAAAGCCTAAAAGTAACATATAAAGTTAACATTTCAAATATTTTTTTAATATATATGAATACAACAGTCCGATTTGCTATAGACAATTCATGAAATGTTTAAAACTGGTCCGAACTATTTTTGAAATGGTTTGGTCTGATTTTAGATCTTTACATTGAATCAGATCGACGGTCTAAAAACTACTGGATTAGTCCACTTTGATGGTTTTAGGCAAACCATGCACATCATTGACGACAACCCATCACTACTTTAGATTTGATCCAACAACCCTTTTGCTTAGCAGGCCGAATGTGACGAGCTTTTAGCCATGAATGCTCCTCTATTTTTTTCTCTCTTTTTTTTTTTTTGTTGAAAAGTAATTTATTTTATCTAGGAAGAACATTTGTTAATTTCATCTTCAAAGAAAAATGTTCTTGATTTTTTTTTGTTTAAATTTGAAGAATTTTTCTTTTTGTTTTTCAAGACTTTTAAACAAAATTTTTTCCTTGAAGTAAAATTTCTAGTTTCCGAAACCAAAACTGAGATTGAGTTTGGGATTGGGATTAATAGCAGGGTCAGGATCGAGAGAAATTTTTTGTTTTCTTGACTTAAAAAACATTTAAAAAAGATTATCAAACACATTTATATTAAGAAAACACACATGAAAAAGGAAAAAAAAAAAAAGCACTTATTTATTTAGAAAACAAAATGGTTATTTTCACCAATTGTCTTATAGAATATCAACTTATTTCACTTTGGCCCATAACATCCCAACATTCTTTTAAACGGAAATAGTAGGAAATACACTAGTTTTAGCTCATCTTAAATAGTTTGTTTTCATACGGATTACAGAATGTAGCACAAGAATAACATGTGTGGGTTTAAAAATGGAGAAAACAATTAAATAAAGCATTTTGAAAAAAGAAAAAAAAAACAAAACATCGCATTAGATTTAGCGTTGCATTCTCCAATGATTTTCTTACACAAACATCAAATTTTAACATGTAAAATGCTCTAATGAAACATTCAATCCTGATAACAAAGATAAATTCTAACTCCACACATGTACTGCCTATATGAGTCCCCCTTTATTAGGCAAAACAAATGTGTCCTCGAGTTTGTGTAAGCCTCACGTGTCTAAATAAATAAGTTTGAAACAAACTTATTTTTAGTATCCTTTTTTTTTTCACAATTTTTATTCACGTATCTAAATATAAAGCTGCAAAATATCCACGATTATTCATATTCCATAAGCTCTTTTTTCTTTTAAGGCAATTGTCTCTCTCTTTTTTAAATCGTAAAAAACAATTCTTTTAGGTAGTTTATCCTCTACGTTTAAAAATACCAGTTAATTGATGCCAAAATACTTTTAGGAGTCTTATTTTTCTAAAATCCTATTACGTGTCACATTAGAAGTCCTATCTCAATCAGGACCCTTATAACAACGTCTATTTAAGCTTCCTTAACGGCCCTATTTTCATCCAATTTTTTGCTAGTTTGCATTCTCCTATTGTCGTTTTTCTTTCTTTTTGGAATAAAAGGTGCCAAGCAGTAGAAAAGTTCTCTTGTTCTGTTTTGAGGCTTCTTCAACATCTTTATCTATACCACTTAACGAAAAAAAAAAAAAAAAAAAAAAAGAGAAAAAAACAGTGGTCTTGTTGTTCAAATAAAGATGGTGATGGAGTCTCAAAATGAATCACGAAATAGAAATAATTCTTTTTTTTTCCTTAAATTTTTTTTCCGGTTCAATAAATGTTTTATTTCCGTTTTTTATTGAATCTGATTTTAATTTGTTTGATTGTTCTCTTCTCTTTTCTTTTTCTTTTCTTTTTTTTTTGTGAAGATTTCACTGGCGTTGGACTTTCTGGATTTTTTGATGAAATAAAACTAACTTCACACGCTTTCTACTGCTCCAGCCATTTTTTAAATAAAAATAAAAATTAACGAAAAAAACAAAGAAGAGAATTTCATTGATTTCCTTAATTTTCTAAAAAATTAGAAATGTTTCTCAATTAGGGTACATATTTTTATCTTACTAATCTCAAAACAGGCAGATCATTTTTTTCCCTTTTTGTGCTTCTTCTTTTTTAGAGGATGTTTGGTAGAGGGATTCGTTCCCTGATTCGGATCATGATTCATAGTTTGCTACAGTATTTTCTCTCACAAATAATTCACGTAAATCGAAAATGATTCGAATTACATGGTTTGAATCCTCCAATCACATGGTTAATTTTGTCGTTTTTCATCATCTTTGTATCCACAACTGGCCTGACGTATGTAGCTTTAAAAGTGATAATTTTATCCGTTAACTTATTTACCTGCGAGACCCGTTTTAAACGGAGCAAAAAAAAAAAAAAAACAAGGTTTAAATGGATGTGGGTTATACACGGTCAAAATTTTAACCTGTCACGAATCGTGGAGCATGAACAAGTTTAAAAGTCCTTAACTCTATTATTTATTTATCAGTCTTGTTTAATTATATTACGTTATTAAACTACATATATTTTGTATAATATGATGTGATATATAATTTTAAGTATAATATATCACATAATATATATAAAAATTTAAAATTATTTTTCTATTATTAATTTTAACTTCATGTTTTGTATAATTATATTGATTAATTAATTAATTAATTATCTTAAGATAAAATTAACTAATCGAGTAAATAGGGCATTGTGAGTACTCCAAATTCGTGACAAATTCGTGACAGGAAAACCTGCCATGTATCCTGGCAACTGACGAAAGCTTCTCTTTATCTTTATATATTACTAAATCTCAAAGCAAGCAGGTCATGGTAGAACTTTTTTTTTTTTCTCTTTTTACCCTTCTTTTTTATTTTTTACCTGGCTACATTTGTTGTTTTTCACTGTCTTTGTATCCAGACGTGAGTCATGACCAACATATATAGTTTAGAGATAACAGTTTTACCCGTTAACTCATGTACTCATGGAGACCCACCTTAAACGAGGCAAGAAAAAGCTGGTTTAAATAGATGCGAGTTAAACACGAATTAAAATTTTAACCCGTCACAGATCATAGAGCAGTGATAAATTTACAAGCCCTCGACCCTATTCCTTATTTAACCGTCCTTTTAATTATATATATATGTATATATATTGAATAACATGTAATATACAATTTAAAGTACAATATATCAATATAATATATATAAAAATTCAAAACTATTTTTCTTTTATTAATTTTAACTTCATGTTTTGTATAATTGTGTTGATTAATTGATTAATTATTTATCTTATGATGAAATAGCTAATTGAGTAAATAGTAGTTAATTTTGGGTAAATAAGACACTGCAATTATCTTGAACTCATGACGAGAAAATCTGTCCCGTATCCTGCCAACTTATGAAACATATTAAAAAATTCTATAAATCATGTAGATGTAAGAAATAAAGTCATGTATGATTTATTTTTAACTCTTTCTATTACACATTCATTATTTAATTAATCCTTTATATTTAATTACACTTTAACTAAAATAAATTAAAAAAATTGAATGGACAAACTTTTGCTAGTCATGAAAGAAATACAATAGCGTTATTCTCAGAAAATCTGTCGAGTTTGATATGATACAAATAGAATTACTCTTTTTCTATTAAATCTGTGGGAAAAACTATGATCTAATACAACAGCTTTTTAAACGACCTCATGCAAAGAAGATCCTCTTCTGTCTACTGATAACAAAGCTACTTCTTCCACTTTCTCATTACTTAATCTTTCGTTGAAGTGCTGTCGGAGAAATTCTACAGCCATGAATGTGAGAGCGGAAGCCGGGACGTACCATGTTATCCTGGGAATGCTACCTCTGAACATTCCTTTCGCGCCTTCTGTGGTCCAAACGCGATGAATTGCGTCCAACCAGCCATTATACCTGAAAGTTCCACAAACTTGAAAAGTCATGTGTCCTGTCACCAACAAATTTGATACCAACTCAAGTGGCAGCTTTCGTAGTTCAACTTTTTAATATTGATCGATACGATAATTTTTAAACACCTAACAATAAAAAAAGAAAACTTACTTACCGCATCTGTTTTAATGACTTGGGATTCCTATTATATAAAATGCTAATTTCACGTCAATAAACAAGGTAAAACTAAAAAACTCAGGTCCCCTCTTAACAGACCTAGAGGAAGCAGTCCTCACATTATTGTGCTGCTTGACAAAAAATTTCTAGCTCAAATTTCTAAATCTAAAGATTTATTAGTTTACCAATCCACCTTAAAAGCTATAGCTGTTAGGAGATAGGTCAATGTTTTTATATCTCAACACTATACCTCGCGTGTGGGCTGAATAATGGGGCAATCATGTAGGTAAATTAATTGGAAAGCCCAACACGTGAATATTTAATAATAAGCCCGAAATATATTAAACACACAACACGTGATGACAATTTAGGGAGTGCAATTGCAAGGTTTTTGCACTTAGCACTTCCCGATCTAATACCTTGTTAGTTTACTAATCCATCCTAAAAGCTTAAGCTTTTAGGAGGTGGATCAACAATAGTTTTTATATTTCAACAAATACCTTAAAGACGATCCCTGTACTTGCAGTCTTGTCTTGATGATATCTAAGGGAGTGGTAAGATATGCACTGAAGCCTGCACAATATATAGAGCCATAAATCTTATGTAATCAAGACTAACTGGTTCTAATAATGGAGTTAAAACAAAAACGGATTAAATGGCAAGCTCGACCTTAATTATTAGAGCTATAATAAGAAAGGAACATACCACCAGCTAATCCTCCTAATATGAGCCCCTCCATAGAACTATTAATAAAGCCATTTCGATTCATATTCCATCTCTGCTTCCCATACTCGGTCATGTCTTTCAAGGCTTCATAAAACACAACCTACAAAGTGAAAAGTGAAATGAAAGGAGGTGGGAATGTGAAAAACTAAGGT